ATGGCCTTGAAGTCTTGTTAGTTGCAGTCTCACCCAAGAGGGGGGGTGAATTGGGTGAGTTATAAAATTTTCAAAATAAAATAATGAACTATAGAAACAGAGAGTGTGAGTTAGAGAGATTTCACCATAGAAAGTGGACACAGAATTTATACTGGTTCGGTCTCAACCACTTGACCTACATCCAGTCTTCAGAATACTTCTGAGTATTCCACTATGTTCCAAGATTGATTGGGCTCTTGGTGTCACAGTACAGTAATTGATACTCTCAATCACTCCCCCTTACTACCTGTAAGGTTATAATCCCACTCAAGAGTCCACACTTTTGAGCTTTACATAAGACGTGATTAATAATGAAAGATACAAACTCTCTTACAGAGTGAATAAATGATAATCACTGAAGCTCGGTATATGGCAGAACAGAGTATTGAATATGACAGTAAATAATCAACAGAGGGTAGCTCGCATATTCAATCTGTTCATTTAATGCTTCTTCACGCTTTTTATAGTTGAGGTAGTTTAGTAATCATTAGACTAAAGAGCTTCTAGCCGTTGAGAGTCCGATTGCATGTTTTTCCAGTTGCAACGGTTTTCGCCATTAATGCTTCTGACAAGGTAGGTTACAGGCTACTTAGACAACTGTTGGAGAGCCGTTGGGTTTTTTCATCAAATCTGCAATAATACTTTAACTCAATAAGTTTTTCTTTGCAAAGTAAGATTTAAAGCAAAACCGAACAAGTGATAAAATGACCATTCATAGTTTATACGTAGAATCAATCAGTTGTTAAATGTGCAGAACAATAATCGAACATGCTTGATCGAAGTAATGACTGATTACTGGTTGATCGATCAGGTTATCAATTATTCAGCGTAAGAGCTTTTGAAACAGGTAACTAAGTTTATCGATCAAGTGATGGATTAATGATTTATCGATCAAGTGATCGATAAAATGAAACAGTGACTTTATACTGATATGCAGAGAAAAAGACAATCAAGGTCACTCTTGATTTTGAATCACTTAAAAAGATATTAAGATAAACATGAAGGCTGAAAAAAGCTTGAATGAAATAGATAATTGACTTTGAGAATCATCATAGCTGACTAAGTTTAAACAGAAAAACATTCCATGATCGAATAAGTGATCGAACACTTGTTGATCAATTAGGTTATCGATAAAACAATATGTTATAGAGTTAGATTTAAAAGCAATAATGATCAAACACTTTATCGATAAATAGATGATGGATACAGTTATCAATAAACAATAGGCAAAAGTATGTTCAGTGAAAGCACAGACTAATTAAATTAATCAAATAGGTGATCGCTTAATGAATGATTGATCAAGTGATCGATAAAATGATTTAATCTTGTAAAGTCAAAGAACTGATTTATCGATCAAGTTATGTGAAAAACAAGGTAGACATATAAGTACGGTGATAGAAGAACCATGATTTAAAAAATAAAATACTGATGATCGATCATGTGATCGATAATTTGCTAATTGATCAGGTGATCGATAAGCTACTGAGATAAGTACCTGCATGTAAAGAGTGTTATGATGCAATGTTCGATCACATTATTAATAAATGACTGATTGATAAAATGATCGATAAATGGTGACTAAAGCAAAACATAGAATGAGTAGAGCACATTACCATTTATCTGTCTTCTCATCGATAATCTGTTTATTGATCATGTTATCGATAAATGCCTATCAGATTTATATCTCTTTATCTAACTGATGTTTGATCATTCTTGATTATCGATCAAGTGATTGATAATTTACTGCAGACTTTTATACACAACTAAGTTAACAATGATTGATCAAGTGATCGATCAACACATTATCTAGCAAGTTATCGATCAAAGTTTCTGCGAAATTACTTGATTGTACAGAGATATTATCTATCAGCTTATCAATAAGTCCTTGATCGATCATCTGATCGATCAACATACTGAAACACAAATTCCTTACTTTGTTATCATTAAAAACTTAATCCTAACATTCTCCTCCTTTTTGATGATGACAAAACATAGGTAAGGGATATTGACTACGTAGCATCAAATAACAGTAAAATCAAAACAGTAAAGGTACTTAACAAATTAAAGTGAGATAGAAAGGTAGCATAAAAGAAACTTTAACTAATAAACGTGAGCTGTCATCTCAGTAAGCAACTTGCATAATAAACAAATTACACAACTGTTAGAAATTAACATACATAACAGTAAAAAAACTAGACAGCAGAAAAAGAAACTAAGCAGCAGAAAAAGAAACTAAACAGCAGGATCCTTCTTTCCCTTTTTATCAGCATAAGAAGAAGAAGGGGAAGGAGTAGAAGCAGTAGGCATAGGCAGTGGAATAGGAAGAGGTGGAAGGTGAGAAAGTAGAGAAAAGGATGGAAAATGCAGAGAAGGAATTGGTTGAGGAACAGTAATGAGAGCTAAAGGAGTAGAAGGAGTGGGAGAGGTAGGGGGTACAGATGGTGAAGTGAAAATCAGAGAAGTGGGTATAGGAGAGGTAGAAGGTACAGGCTCATAGTGAGGAGGAGATGGTGGGTGAGGTAGTAAGTCCTCAAAACTAAAAGCAGTATTGGGGCAGAGAAGTTGTTGTAGAGAGAGGCCACTATCCCTTTGAGCTCTCAGATCTCTCTATCAACATGGTCGAATCTCTGAGAAACCTCCTTTTCCAAAACTATTATTGCTTGTCGATGAAGATCCAGAATTTTGGAGATGCCCTCAAATTTTTTGTCTGAGACTTCCCCATAGTCTCTGGCAGTGACATAGACTCTCCTCTCAAAATCTTGAAGTTCAACTTAAAACAGCTCCCTGATTGATCTCTCCATAAATGATGGTCCAAGGGTATGAGAGGGAGCTACAGTGGATTCGGCCTCATCCTGAGTCCTAGAGGTGCTAGCAGCTAGTTGTTTTCTTTTATCCTTCTGAGTCATCTTTTGTGAGGGTCTAAAGGGTACAGGGATCCTCATCTTGTTTAGCTGGGTAATACCAAAAGCGGGAACTTTGGTCTTGAGTTCTCTCGGCTCAAAAGGGGTAATGTTATTTGCTTGTAGGATATATGTGGCCAACTGAGGATAGGGGATTGGTGTAGACTTGGATTTGTTAAGAACAAAATCCTTCATCTCATTATAGATCAAATCCCTAATGTTGATCTTTTCCCCATTGATAATCCTAGCTAGTAGCAAATAATCATCCTCAGTAAGATGTGAAAAGCTCTCAGATTTGTTGATCATGCTCCTCGAGTAGATATAGTCAATTATTCTATAATAATCACACATCTGCTTAGGTGGAAAGTTTGGTTCACCGGGGTAGTCATCACTTTGCATCAAAATCTTGTAGGCTTTGATATCATTCATATCATCCCCTCTCACAAATTCTTGGGTTCCCAGCAACTCATTCAGCTTAGCACCAGTAATGTGGAAGGTTTGGCCTCTAAGTTTGACCCTTAAATAATCGTTTATCAGATTGTCCTGCTCATCATACCCTTCCACTGATTCCATATTATAGTAGAATCTCTTAACTACTTCAGGACAATACTCTCCGCCAATAATCAACTAGTTAGAGTAGTATTGCAGTGGGTCACTTAAATCTAGATTAATCTATTTGTTTTTCTTCAAACTCTCTATATCCACAGAAACCACAAGACAAAATTTTCGGTCGGCAAAATCTATCTTGAACTTAGCCATATTTATTTCACTATCAAGGTTCCCAAGCAATAGTTCAAAGAAATTAGATGAGATACCTTTAGTAGGAATCTGCTGTGACACTCCTTTACTGGCTCTCTGTTTTCTCTGTCTTGGTTTTCTGGGGATGGGAACTCTCAGAGCAGTTCCCACAGCTTTCTGAATTGAGTCTCCTTCATCTGACTCAGTTCCTGATTCCTCAGTAACCACTGGTAGCTTGGATTTGGACCGGGGAGATTTTTTTCGAGGAGTGGGTTGTTCTTCAGCCCGACTCTCTTGGTATTTGAGGACTCCTCTCTTCTTCGATGATTCGTCCCTTACTTTTGGTCTGTATCTCTTCCTAGTACCCGACGGAGTAGTATCACTGGGTTGAGTCTGTTTCTCAATGCTTTCTTCTCGCTCAACATTAGGCTACTTCACTCTCGCCATTTTTGAGATACCGAAGGATTTTGAGGAATTAATTGGTTGAAGAAGTGTATCTCAAGTTCGATGGAGGTCGAGTAAGTGTCAAAGATGGATTTGAGTGGAAGGGGGCCGGAAATTTAATGGAATTGTGGTTTCGGACCGTTGCGAAGAAACAAGGGATCGGTTCTTGTTCGAGCTAGGGTTAGATAACTGACGAGGATTTTCAAAAATTGAACATTATAAACATCAAAATTATCGATCATGTTATCGATCAATGGATGATCGATCACGTGTTTGATAAATATGAAGAACACACAAGAACACTAAAGACAATTATCAATCAAGTTATCAAACAAGCAATTATCGAACATGTTATCGATAAAATTGATAGAGGAGACACATACCTGGTCTGTTTTATCGATCATTTGATCAATTAATAGGTTATCGATCAGCTTATCGATTAATGCTTACTAAAATTGAATGAAGTGTCTCAAATCGTTGTCATTCCTGATCAATGTGTTGATCGATAATCAACTTATCAATCAGCTTATCAATAATCCTCGTTCTAACTTTCTTCTTTCTCCTCACATGCTGCATTTATTGATCAGGTGATCAATAAATTTTCCCTTTGTGGCATCATGATTATTGATGTCTTGATCGATTATTCCATACTCTATTTACCTCTGTTTTTCTTCGACAAAATAGAGCTTCCTGCAAAACAAATTTCTATCCACTCTGATGCTTAAGTTAGTCTTTTAATCATCAAAACATTAAATCTAAAGATTCAAATTTGAGAAATAATATGAGATTTCTTACAACTTATTGGGATTTACCATTCCCAATTCTCTTATAAAGTAGTTGAATTTCTATGAATCTAAAGGATTCGTGAAAATATCTGCTATTTGATAATCGTGGGGGTGAATTCTACTTTTACATCTTTCTTTTGAACATGATCCTGAATGAAATGATGTCGAACGTCGATATGCTTAGTTCGGGAATGATGAACTGGATTCTTGGACGGGCTTATCGTACTCGTGTTATCACATAAGATTGAAATTTCTCTCAAGTTGATTCCTAGATCTTGTAGTTGTTGTTTTAACCATAAAATTTGAGCACAAAAGCTGGTAGTGGCAACATATTCTGATTCTGTGGAGGAAATTGCCACAGTATTCTGCTTTTTGCTTGACCATGAGACAAGGCACCCTCTGAAGAATTGACATTATCCACTGGTGCTCTTTCTATCCATCTTATATCCTCCATGATCGGCATCTGAGAATCCCATTAGATATTCTGCTCTCTTCTTCAGATACTAGATTCCCAAATTTTGTGTTTCGATAAGGTATCTGAGGATTCGCTTGACGACTTCTTCATGTGATTCTTTGGGGGCTGATTGATATCTTGCGCACATTCTCACATTGAATTGAATATCTGGCTTGCTAGCAGTGAGATAGAGTAATGAACCAATCATTCCTCTATATCTGGTTAGATTCACATCCTTACCCTTTTCGTCTGCATCTAGCGAGATGGTTGAGCTCATAGGAGTTTTTACGTTTTTGGCATTTTCTAATCCATATTTCTTTAGTTACTCCTTCAGATACTTTGTCTGGGATATAAATATGCTATTTTTCTTCTGCTTGATTTACAATCCCAGAAAGAAATTTAGTTCTCCCATCATCGACATTTTGAATTCCCCTTGTATTAGCTTAGCGAACTCTTGACAAAGATCCTCATTAGTAGCTCCGAAAATAATATCATCCATGTAAATTTGAACAATCAAAAGATCTTTCCTACTTCTTTTAATGAAAAGAGTAGCATCCGTTTTGCCTCTCTCAAATCCTTTTTCTATCAGGAAATTGCTAAGTCATTCGTACCAGGCTCTAAGAGCTTGTTTTAAACCATATAAAGCCTTTTTCAGTTTGTAAATGTGATCAGGGAAGTTTGAATCTTCAAAACCAGGAGGTTGTTTGATAAAGACTTCTTGTAAAATATAGCCATTCAAAAATGCACTTTTAACATCAATTTGATATAATTTGAAATCTTTTATGTAAGCAAAAGCTAAGAGTACTCGTATGGCCTCCAATTTGGCTACTGGAGCATAAGTTTCCTCATAATCAATGCCTTCTTCCTGATTATAGCCTTTAACTACTAATATGGCTTTGTTTCTGACGATTTGCACAGATTCATCGAGCTTATTTTTGAATACTCATTTGGTGCCTATGACCGGATGATCATTAGGTCTGGGTACCAATTCCCAAACTTAATTTCTCTCAAATTGGTTAAGCTCTTCCTACATTGCAACTATCCAAAATTCATCGGATAGAGCCTCGTCAACATTAGTAGGTTTAATATGCGAGATGAATGTAGAGAAGCGCACTTCATTGAACACTTGCCTCCGGGTTTTTACCCCTTCATTGACTTTACTAATGACTTGTTCCAGAGGATGGTCTCGGTTATGTCTCCAAGCCTTAGGCTGTTCTAAATTTTTTTGTGAAGAAGGTTCATTTAAATCATTTTTGTTTTCTAAACATTCTTCTGAAGGTAATTTGTTTGAAAATTTATTTAAATCTAGTTTTTGAAAATTTTGAATGATCTCAGCATCATCATCTAAAGGTTTTGAAACCAGCTCAGTTTCAGCAAACACAACATGTATTGATTCTTCAATTGTGAAAGTGCGTTTGTTGAAAACTCTATAAGCTTTACTACGATTAGAGTAACCAAGAAATAAACCTTCATCAGCTTTTGGATCAAATTTACCGAGATTCTCTTTGTTGTGGTTGTGAATGTAGCACTTACTCCTGAAGATCTTTAGATGAGCCAAGTTAGGCTTTCTTCCTTTGTATAGCTCATATGGTGTTTTCCCGAGCAGTGTTCTGATGTAAGCTCTATTGGAGATGTAGCAAGCCGTGCTCATTGCTTCTGCCCAGAATACTTGTGAAATTCCTTTCTCGTTTAGTGTTGCCCTTGCCATTTCTGTGAGCACTCTGTTCTTTCGTTCAACAACTCCATTTTGTTGAGGAGTTCTTGGTGCTGAAAAGTTGTGATCAATTCCGTGCTCGTCATAGTAGTTTGTGAATTCATTGTTTTCAAATTCTCCTCCGTGATCAGACCTAATTGACACAATAGAAATACCTTTCTCATTTTGTACCTTCTTAGAAAAAACACTGAATGCATTAAACGTTTCATCTTTAGAGGAAAGAAACAAAGTCCAAGTGAATCTCTAATAGTCATCAACTATCACAAGAGTGTACAGATTTCTACCAAAACTTTTAACTCTTGACGAACCAACCAAATCCATATGAAGCATTTAGAGTGGCCTTTCAGTTAAGACCGTCTTCTTTGATTTAAATGAAGACTTTGTTTGTTTACCCTTCTGACAAGCATCACAAATAATATCATGTTCGTGTGAATTTTTGGTAAACCAATAACCAAATCTCTTTTTGTTAATTTTGAAAGTTGATTCATGTTAACATGTGCAAGACGTTTATGTCATACCCAACTTTCCTCCTTTTTGCTAATAAAATAGTTTTCAGAAGATTTTGAGTCAATTTGAAGCGTATAACAGTTACCATCCCTTGGAGCTCTCAGCTTTATATTCAACTCTTCCTTCTTCAATGGCAGGTCATCTTTGCTTATGACCAAGCATTCTTCTGAATCAAAGATCACCCAGTTATTTTTATCGGTACTCTGACTGACACTAAGTAGATTGTGACACAGACCTTCTGCATAGTATACATCTTCAACCTTCATTCCTTTGTTACTTCCTATCTCTTTGATTCCAGCAATTCTTCCAGATTGATTGCCACCAAAGCTTACTTTACCTCCTTGGGTTTGAGTGATGTGAACATCTCAGTATCACCCATCATATATCTGGAGCATCCACTATCGATGTACCATTTGTTCGTTCTGGATGCTTTGAGGCATACCTGCAACAACATAATCATGTTTTAGGTACCCATACCTTCTTGGATCCTTTTTGGTTAGTATGAGTTGTCCTAGGCACATAAGTACCTTTGGGCACCTATTTTAATGTCCCGTAAGTTCCTTTCTTCTTGTGATAACAAGAAGAGGTTGTATGACCTTTACAGTTGCAATAAGAACATAGTGCAAAAGGATTAAAGGAATGAATAGTATTTCTAAAGAAGGTAAGATACGATCGGCTGCTACTCTTCTTATTTCCCTTCGTCTTATCTTGAACAGGATCATATCCTATTCCAGTTTTATCCATCGAACATCGTTGAGCTCTCAAAATCACTTTGAGCATTTCACTACCCTTAGTGAATTTTTCCAAGGTTTTTATGAGACCCTCGGCCTTCTTTCTATTCTATTCACCTTCCGTACATACTGGAGGTAGGACTGCGTTGTCTTTCTGCTTCGCTTGCTGTTCCTCCAGAAATTTTATTCTTTTCTTAGAG